TAAATAGCATTAGAAGTCGCATTGAAGGGGTGTACCTTTCAGAGGATATTCCTCCTATTCGTCTCTCAGCCTATGCTGATGATGTAGTTGTTTTAGTGAAAAATCAAGCAGAGGTGGATAGTTTGAGTCTAATGGTTGATCGTTTTAGGGCAATATCCTCTGCAAAGGTAAATTGGGAAAAAAGTTGTGCTTTACAGATTGGAGAATGGTCTGGAGGGATCATGGCTTTGCCAGGGGGGCTGGAATGGTGTAAGGGAGGTTTTAAGTATATTGGAGTGTACCTAGGAGATGAGGGGACAATGGAAAAAAAGTGGATTGGGCTGGTTGAAATGGTGGAAGGGAGGATGAGGAGATGGCGATGGTTGTTATCTCGTAAGTCATATAGGGGGCGCACTATTATAGTTAACGATGTGATTGCCTCTGCACTGTGGCATTGGTTGTCAGTTTTAGAGCCACCATCTGGCCTTCTGGCTAAGATACACACGATTATTGTAGATTTATTTTGGGATAAATATCATTGGGTTCAACAAAGTGTTTTGTATTTGTCAAAAGAGGAGGGGGGACAAGGTCTTGTACATCTTGCTAGTAGGGCTGCTGCTTTCCGGTTTCAGTTTATTCAAAGGTTGCTTTATGGACCGGAAAATGTGGTTTGGAGAGGGGTGGCAGGTCTTGTATTACAGCAGGTTGAGGGATTAGGTTTAAACAAGGCTTTATTTTTGGTTGATAGTAGCCAGATTTCTAGGGAAGGAGTACCTCTGTTTTACAGAGGCCTTCTTAGGGTGTGGAGCATAATGAAGGTGTCCAGACGAACTTCAGCGGAGTCAGTGCGTTGGCTGTTGGAGGAACCTCTGCTGTATGGGGCAAGACTGGATTGTACAACTGCAGCTGTTCCACATTTCTCCAAGATTCTGGTGAAGGGCAAAATCATCACCTTAAAACAGTTAATGGCCATGGCTGGGCCCGCCTTAATGGATGGAAGACGGGTGGCTGAACATTTGGGGGTGAGGTCGGAAAGGATTGTCGGACAACTGCTGGGAAGCTGCAGGAAGGCTCTGTTAGCAGAAGAGTGGGGTATGCTGAATAGTCACAAGAAGTAGGTACAAGATGAAAACGTCTCATTTCCAAGACTATGGATTACACCCAATATCCCAGAGTCAGAAAGAAAGGCGTTATTACTGGATTTGAGAGGGTTGGAAGAGGTGGGTTTGGATGAGGTGAATGGGAAAGACTTATATAGGGGGTGTGTCAAGGTGTTGAATAAAGATATATTGAAAAATAGAAAAGACACTCCATGGAGGGTAAAATTGGGCATTGATGACAAGGTAAAGCCAGCATGGAGAGCACTGTACAAGCCACCGTTACAAAAGGGTACTGGGGATATGCAATGGAGGGTTTTGCATGGCATCATTGCAGTTAATTCTTTTGTATCTGTTATTAACTCAGATGTTGGAGATGGATGTCCTTTTTGTAATATAAGAGAAACCATTGTTTACTGTTTTATGGAGTGTGAGAGAATAAAACCTCTCTTGGAAATGCTGGAGTCTTTGTTTAAAGCTGTAGGGGAGATTTTCAATAACAATGTTTTTATTTTGGGGTTTCAATATAGTACGCAACAGAAAAGAAAATGTCAACTGTTAAATTCTATTTTGGGACAAGCTAAGATGTCAATTTTTCTGAGAAGGAAACAGGATATGGGCAGGATGTAAGATGTGTTTTTAAAGGATTAGTGAAAGCGAGAATAAAAGTGGATTTTGAGTTCTTCTCGGCTGTAAAATATCTCCCATTGTTTGAGGAGAAGTGGGCCTACGAAGGAGCAGTTTTTTTTGTGGAGGAGGGGAAACTATTTTTTGTTGATGAAATGAGTTGAATGTATATGTTTTTTTGTATTTTTATTAAATTTATTTTTATTTTTGTTTTCATTTTTATTTAGGAATGACATTTGTTGTTTCATTTCTGAAAAGGCAGTGTGCCATTATTTATGTTAACACTTGAGTATAAAATAAAGGTTTTATAAAAACTCAAACTCTCTCTCTCTCTTTCTCTCTGTCTCAATCCCTCTCTCTCTCTATCCCTCTCTCTCCTCCCTGTGTTCTGGCCTCAGTGTCATAAACAACCACACCTGTTTCCATGGTAGCAGCAGGCAGGCTGTGTGCTCTCCTTGGTGTGTGAGGAGTGAGGGAGGTAGAGAAAGAAGGAGAGCGAGAGAGGGAGGGAGAGAAAGAGTCATAGAGCGGTAGAAAGAAAGAGCTTGAAAGACAGAGAAGGTAGAGAGCAAGAGAGAGAGAGAGAGAGAGAGAGAGAGAGAGAGAGAGAGACAGACAGAGAGAGAGAGAAAGAGGAAGAAAGCATTACTCATGCTAACATCAACATCAACATGGCTGTGAAAAGAGCAGAGAGGAGCGGGGAGTTCCTCTACCGAGGATGGAAGGGGCCGGGCTTAGCTCTGTATGCAAATCCATAGCCTCCAGGAGCCAGCGTGTCATGTGACCATGCAAGAGGAGAGTCACGTGACTGTGCTAGGAGATGTTGGGGTTTTGCTCAGCACCAATCCATCTCCATCTGATGTGGTGTGTGAGAGAGTGGCGTGCTGGTGGGCTGTGAGCTCATGCTTTATATTTAGGAGGTGATATCACAGCTCTGCAGCTACAGTAGGCTCTACAATGGCTCAGTTAGTGCTTTGAATACATTTTTCATAGCTTTTGCATGTTATGTACCTTTGTAACGTCATCCACACAAACTAGTCTCACAAGGCCATACTTCCAAATATCATCTAGTTGTCCTCTGTAGCTCAGCTGGTAGAGCACGGCGCTTGCAAAACCGTGCTTCTTAGAACTATTGTTTTCGTACTTCATCTGACTACATGGTTGGTCTCAGTGATGGTGCTAGTCTGGTGTAGCATGATGTATTATAGTACCCATAATGCCCCATGGTTCTTACCTTCATCTCTATGATGGTCTGGAGGGCTTTGGTTTTGCCAGGGTCCTGGTACATCTGGTTTCTCCTGTGCAGTTCCTGGGAGAACACCAGTTGATATGAAATAGACAAGACAAGCATCAAATGTCGCCTCTCTTAAGACCTAGTGCAATTGGCCCGTATTTATGAAGCATCTCAGAATAGGAGTGCTGATCTAGGTTCAGTTTAGCCTTTTAGATCATCATGAATAAGATAACATGGATAGGGGGGACCTGATCCTACATCAGCACACCTACTCTGAGACGCTTTATGAATATGGTCTCTGAATCTCTCCAAAAGCATCTTAGCAAATACCACAACACAACCTTTCAGTCTTTTCAATGGGTAATGACTCAACTCAACACTCTAGCGACAGCATTGAAATAAGTTACATTTATTTGCACTTCCATTTACATCATTCATATACTGGCAATAATACTGTACACAGATCAGAGGAGGCTGGTGGGAGGAGCTATAGGATGATGGGATCATTGTAAAGACATTGTGAAAAATTGAATGGTATCAAGCACATCAAACATATGGAAAGCACATGTTTGACTCCATTCCGTTAATTCCATTCCAGCCAATACAATGAGCCCGTCCTCCTATAGCTCATCCCACCAGCCTCCTCTGACACAGATTGAACACTGTTCCTCTCACTTCAGTCAGAGCACAGTAGGCAGACAGAAAGAAGTTCAATATTGCCCTCTAGTGTTGATACGCATACACTTTACCTTAGAAGAAACATTTGGAAATTGCCAAATAACGTCTGCTCTAAAACCAGTACCGAACAAATAACATGACTCAACGCAATCAGTAACACCTCAAACACAGGTGAGACCAGTGCCGACAGAGGCAACCCTGACCAGGTGGAATCTACTGCGTCTACTGTGGCCATATAGTAGGGTGGTTCCACCAAGTAGGTGCCTTTTGAGTAATGTAAATTGATGGAAAATGTTTTTTGATTTCACCTCATTTTTAAATTCTGTCATAAAGAGCACATGTTCAACTTCCTAAAAAACATGTTTTCCCATTTCAAAAGGTTAAATACATAAAGAAATGGCTATAGTAAGTGCATATTAAGTGCCAAATAAAGCAACAAGGTTGACCGTAACAGGGTTGACAACTTAATCTTAAATCATCCATAACGCTTGTTGTGTGCTACAGGGTGGGGCAATTGAATGCAAGCGTCACAAATTATTTTAAGTTGTTCACAACATTTCTAGCCTCTCAGCTATGGTTAACAGGGTTGATGTGTTATGCTTGACCCGCTCAGTTTTCCACTACAAAACACCAGAAAATGGCCAAAAAGAGTAGAACCAGCTCACTTGCTTTTACACTATGATATGATTATTAGATGTTCAATGTTTCTTTTGAAAATGTTATTTTTTTTAATGAATAGTTTCACCATATTAAAATGAGAGTTCAGTTCACATTTTAATTTTTCAACCTTAAAATGAATCACTAATCACATGAAATAAATAACAATATTCAGAAATGACTGTCAAAGCAACAAAATAACTAGGGCTTTACAATGATAGTGAAAATTTGGAGACATTTTAGGGTTAAGTCACAGAGTTCACTGAGGGTGCACGGAGGAACATGTCAAAATGTTGAATTTTGCCACTTTAGCGAGCATTTATTAATGTAAAAAAATCTGATTTATTGAATTTTCCATGTGGTGTTTATTAAAGGGAACTTCATAACAGGCTTTTAAAATTCTATATTTGTGAAAAATTTCAACTTCAAATATCAAAGGCATGCAAAAAGGCACTCATTTGTGGAACAATCCAGTAGTTATATAGTTATGGCCATTTAGTGGTCGTATAATAGCACTACATTTACTCTGAGTCTACTGTGGCCCTACACTAGCTACAGTATATAGTACTATATAGTACTATATGGCCAGTACTACATGGCCATAAGCACTACATAAGACACGTCACCAACGGCACCCTATTCCCTACATAGTGCACTACTTTTGACCAGGCTCTGTTCAAAATGAGTGAGAATAGTGTATTTGGGACGCAAGCCATATAATCTTCTACCTCTCGGAGGTGGATGTTCTCCTTCTCCTTCTGGTCCAAGATGACCTCCAGGTGTCCCAGCTGTGCCTCTGCCTCAGCGATGCGCCTGGCTCTCTCCTGCTCCTCCTCCTCATTGACCCTGCCTGGCCCCCCAGGCAGACCCTTACTCTGGAGCATTTCCAGCAGCTTTTTGATAGACTCGTCCCTGGCCCCCAGCGTCTGCTTCTGGGTCTCGATCCGCAGCTCCATCTCCTCCAAGGTCTTCCTCAGGAGGAAGAGCTCTTTTGCCTGCCGGAAAGTAAGGCATTTTAAGGAATGTTAAATTAAGGAAGTATATAAATGGTGTCATCATTAGGGCAGCGCAATTCCGGGAATTTTCCCAAAATGTCCAGGTTGGAAAAAAATCCAGAAATCTCCGGTTGGAAGATTCACGGAATTCCGCCAGGGAATAAGCAGGAAATCTGAAATACATCAACCAGCACTTGGGAATTTTGGGAAAGTTACCAGAAGTTTTTCAACCCTGGTCATAATAACCTGGAACTAATAACTAACTCATTTATTTATCACTAATTTATTATGAATAATTTATTAAGATTCCTTGCCTGGCGGTCGTGCTCAGCCTGCAGTCGTCTAAAGTTCTCCTCGGTCAGCTCGATGTTGGTGTAGTGTTCCCCAGAGCGGCCGCCACTCTCCTGCAGCAGGTGGTTCAGGTCCCTCTGGGTCTGCAGCTCATCCTGCAGGGCCTGGATGGTCAGCTGCAGGTGCTGTGGGGGTCAAACACACACACACACACATGCAAACACAAGGAGTCTCAATCTGGTCGGATCACAGCAAACTCACACAAACTCACACACAAAAATACATTTTATAGAGAGGGGGTGGGGGGGTGGGGGGGACATTTTGACAGCCCTGTGGAAAGGAGATGTGCATTAGGAAGAACCCACACAGAGAAACTCACAAACACACACTGTAATCTATTCAACCTCTGGAGAAGTTATAGCCGAAGAAACTGAGGCCTTACCTTGCTATGGCATGAAAGACACATAGAAAACATGCACATAAATCTACCCACATGTAAATATTACTTCAACTACCTCAACTAGCCGGTGCCCCCGCACATTGACTCTGCACCGGTACCCCCCTGTATATATAGCCTCCCTACTGTTATTTTATTTTACTTCTGCTCTTTTTTTCTCAACACTTTTTTTGTTGTTGTTTTATTTTTACTTTTTTGTTAAAAATAAATGCACTGTTGGTTAAGGGCTGTAAGTAAGCATTTCACTGTAATGTCTGCACCTGTTGTATTCGGCGCATGTGGCCAATACAATTTGATTTGATTTGATTTGATTTGAGTATGGCATCATGAGAAAGTATGGGTTGAAGAGGTAATAGAAAAACCAACTGTTTTATATGCTGTTCATAATCGACTATACGGCTTATTGCTTTCCATCTTCTGTAACAATTTCTAGGGTGAGTAATGTGTACTGTAAATGGCTATCTATTTACAGTATTGTATATCAGTAATCTAATCTTTAGGAATATCTCTCAAGGCTTCGACAGCAGGAACACTAAAAGAGCCATTTAAACAAAGCCATCCAGTGAACGACTGAATCGGTGTGTTGCTGGGAGAAACCGATCGTGCAACCGAAATGGCACCCTATTCCAGTAAGAAAGCGAAGAACTTGTAGAACCATGATTGTTCGATAATAGTTTGACGATCATGTCAAGTGTTCATTGTTTAACGGTTGCATTTAACAGCTTGCACTTTCAAAGGAGGTTGTGCTGTGCTGTTATCATGTCTGATTGTTGCAGCATTATTGGTCATTATCTATCTTTATTGCAGGGTGGGTGCTGTCCATACGGTCTGAGTCGAGAGCAGCAGAGATCCATGTAGAGCACAGTAAACACTGTTCCCACAGAGAGTTGGAGACCAACCAATAGCAGTAGACTCAGCAGACCTCTGGGTTCATGCCCATCCATATGCTGTGTGTTAGGGTGGTGTGTGTGTGTGTGTGTGTGTGTGTACGTGTGTGTGCATGCGTGCACATGTGTGTGTGTGTATGCGTGCGAGGTTGTGAGTTAGGGTACAGCAATGCTCCTCCATTAGACTGCACACGCTGCTTCAGGAAGCATAGGGGAAAAGTAAAGGGGTACAGTACCTGATAACTAAACGAGCAGTAAGTCACACATCCATTGAAGTGTGTGTAGGAGAAGGAAAAAGGAGGCTGAGGCTCTGTGACTGTCCCAAAATACACACTAGCATACCACTGTGTACTGATTGGGCCATGCATTCTTAGTGGTATGCTAGCATGGACATTGGAACCTAGCCTGTGTGTTGGAATTTAGGGGGCAGAGGAGCAGCCACACCCCTATATGTGAACCACACCTACAGTATGTTGGTCTGTATAGGGGGAACATACTAGGAGGACCAGGTGTGCTTGGAGTAAAGAAGGAATAGCTGAACAAACAACACTCAGCTAAACAGACTGTGTAGGGGAAGGGAGAGGGTCAGAGGGTAGGGTGTAGGGAACGGAACAGGCGAAACCAATCACACTCCTTTCTGGTGTGTAGTAGTGCACTATATAGGGAAAAGGGTGCCATTTCAGATATGACCTAGGGGTGTGTGGGTGGGGGGGGGGTGGGGGGGGGGGGGGGGGGGGGGCAGAGCCTCTCTGGGGGTCACTGAGGTCACACTGAGGACGACTCTATGTTGTGCACACACACGGCAGCCAGGGCTGCGGTGGCAGACATAGGGACAAACCTTGGTTCTCCTGGCGTCCAGCAGCTGTAGTAGCACGGGCGGAACCAACAGAGAGAACACAGTGCACGGAGAACACAGCGTCAGAACACTACGCTACATGTAACGCACGTGGAGAACATATGACCTACTGTAAGAGCTCCCATGAGGAACGTGAGAACAACGTGTGAGGGACGTGAGAACAACGTGTGAGGGACGTGAGAACAACGTGTGAGGGACGTGAGAACAACGAGTGAGGAACGTGAGAACAACGTGTGAGGAACGTGAGAACAACGTGTGAAGAACGTGTAAGAAACGTTTCAGAATTTTAGCAATTTATTTATACATCCATCCTGCCTTCATATCATGTATCACTATCCATTCTGATGAAAATGGTACAGTAAGGAACCTCACAAACTCACACAAACACATACTGTAATCAGTCTAAAACATAATGGAAACCTTAATGGAAAGAGAGAAACTGTGAGGTTATTTGGTGGTGAATACTTTTCGGCATTAAGTCTCACTATATTAATTGATACTAGGCAAAGGAAATGCATACTAGTAACCACACATTGGGTAAATCTTATAGGTGTGGAATTGTAGGGGACGGTTTCCCAGAGAGATTAAGCCTAGCCCTGGATTAAAAAGCAAGATCAATGAAAGTACTTTTTAGTCCAGAACTAGGTTTAATCTGGGTCCGGGAAACAGCCCCTATATCAGGGATCATCAACTAGATTCAGCCGTGGGCCTATTTTTTCTTCAGCGGATGGTCAGGGGGCCGGAACATAATTGTAAAAAATGTGTAGACCGCAAATTGACCGCAAGAAGCCCAAACACCTTGTTCACATTTGTACAGTGCATTCGGAAAGTTTTCAGACCCCTAGATTTTTTCCACATTTTGTTACGTTACAGTCTTATTCTAAAATGGATGAAATCATTTTTTTCCTTCAACAATCTACACACAATACCCCATAATGACAAAGCAAAAACAGGGTTTTTGAAATGTTTGCTAATTTATTAAAAATAAAAAACTGAAATATCACATTTACCTAAGTATTCAGACCCTTTATTCAGTACTTTGTTGAAGCACCTTTGGCAGCGATTACAGCCTCGAGTCTTCTTGGGTATGACACTACAAGCTTGGCACACCTGTATTTGGGGTGTTTCTCCCATTCTTCTCTGCAGATCTTCTCAAGCTCTGTCAGCTTGGATGGGAAGCGTCGCTGCACATCTATTTTAAAGCCTCTCCAGAGATGTTCGATCGGGTTCAAGTCCAGGCTCTGGCTGAGCCACTCAAGGACATTCAGAGATTTGTCCCGAAGCCACTCCTGCGTTGTGTGCTTACGGTCATTGTCCTGTTGGAAGGTGAACTTTCGCCACAGTCTGAGGTCCTGAGCGCTCTGGAGCAGGTTTTCATCAAGGATCTCTCTGTACTTTTCTCCGTTCATCTTTCCCTCGATCCTGACTAGTCTCCCAGTCCCTGCCGCTGAAAAACATACCCAAAGCATGATGCTGCCACCACCATACTTCATCGTAGGGATAGTGCCAGGTTTCCTCCAGATATGACGCTTGGCATTCAGGCCAAAGAATTCAATCTTGGTTTCATCAGAACAGAGAATCTTGTTTCTCATGGTCTGAGAGTCCTTTAGGTGCCTTTTGGCAAACTCCAAGCGGGGTGTCTTGTGCCTTTTACTGAGGAGTGGCTTCCGTCTGGTCACTCTACCATAAAGGCCTGATTGGTGGAGTGCTGCAGAGATGGTTGTCCTTCTGGAAGGTTCTCCCATCTCCAAGGAGGAACTCTGGAGCTCTGTCAGAGTGACCATCGGGTTCTTGGTCACCTCCCTGACCAAGGCCCTTCACCCCTGATTGCTCAGTTTGACCATGCGGCCATGAAGAGTCTTGGTGGTTACAAACTTCTTCCATTTAAGAATGATGGGGGCCACTGTGTTCTTGGGGACCTTCAATGCTGCAGAAACTTTTTGGTACCCTTCCCCAGATCGGTGCCTCAACACAATCCTGTCTCGGAGCTCTACGGACAATTCCTTTGACCTTATGGCATGGTTTTTGCTCTGACATGCACTGTCAACTGTGGGACCTTATATGGACAGGTGCGTGCCATTTCCAATCAATTGAATTGACCACAGATGGACTCCAATCAAGTTGTAGAAACATCTCAAGGATGATCAACGGAAACAGGATGCACCTGAGCTCATTTTCGAGTCTCATAGCAAAGGGTCTGAATACTTTTGTAAATATGGTATTTATGTAAGTTTTTTTATATACATTTGCAAACATTTCTAAAAACCAGTTTTCGCTTTGTCATTATGGGGTATTGTGTGTATATTGATAAAAAAAAGTATGCATTTAATCCATTTTAAAATAAGGCTGTAACGTAACAAATTTGTGGAAAAAGTCAAGGGGTCTGAATACTTTCCAAATGCACTGTATACAATTACATATATATATATATATATACAGTGGGGAAAAAAAGTATTTAGTCAGCCACCAATTGTGCAAGTTCTCCCACTTAAAAAGATGAGAGAGGCCTGTAATTTTCATCATAGGTACACGTCAACTATGACAGACAAATTGAGAATTTTTTTTCCAGAAAATCACATTGTAGGATTTTTTATTAATTTATTTGCAAATTATGGTGGAAAATAAGTATTTGGTCACCTACAAACAAGCAAGATTTCTGGCTCTCACAGACCTGTAACATCTTCTTTAAGAGGCTCCTCTGTCCTCCACTCGTTACCTGTATTAATGGCACCTGTTTGAACTTGTTATCAGTATAAAAGACACCTGTCCACAACCTCAAACAGTCACACTCCAAACTCCACTATGGCCAAGACCAAAGAGTTGTCAAAGGACACCAGAAACAAAATTGTAGACCTGCACCAGGCTGGGAAGACTGAATCTGCAATAGGTAAGCAGCTTGGTTTGAAGAAATCAACTGTGGGAGCAATTATTAGGAAATGGAAGACATACAAGACCACTGATAATCTCCCTCGATCTGGGGCTCCACGCAAGATCTCACCCCGTGGGGTCAAAATGATCACAAGAATGGTGAGCAAAAATCCCAGAACCACACGGGGGGACCTAGTGAATGACCTGCAGAGAGCTGGGACCAAAGTAACAAAGCCTACCATCAGTAACACACTACGCCGCCAGGGACTCAAATCCTGCAGTGACAGACGTGTCCCCCTGCTTAAGCCAGTACATGTCCAGGCCCATCTGAAGTTTGCTAAAATGCATTTGGATGATCCAGAAGAGGATTGGGAGAATGTCAGATGAAACCAAAATATAACTTTTTGGTAAAAACTCAACTCGTCGTGTTTGGAGGACAAAGAATGCTGAGTTGCATCCAAAGAACACCATACCTACTGTGAAGCATGGGGGTGGAAACATCATGCTTTGGAGCTGTTTTTCTGCAAAGGGACCAGGATGACTGATCCGTGTAAAGGAAAGAATGAATGGGGCCATGTATCGTGAGATTTTGAGTGAAAACCTCCTTCCATCAGCAAGGGCATTGAAGATGAAACGTGGCTGGGTCTTTCAGCATGACAATGATCCCAAACACACCGCCCGGGCAACGAAGGAGTGGCTTCGTAAGAAGCATTTCAAGGTCCTGGAGTGGCCTAGCCAGTCTCCAGATCTCAACCCCATAGAAAATCTTTGGAGGGAGTTGAAAGTCTGTGTTGCCCGGCGACAGCCCCAAAACATCACTGCTCTAGAGGAGATCTGCATGGAGGAATGGGCCAAAATACCAGCAACAGTGTGTGAAAACCTTGTGAAGACTTACAGAAAACGTTTGACCTGTGTCATTGCCAACAAAGGGTATATAACAAAGTATTGAGAAACTTTTGTTATTGACCAAATACTTATTTTCCACCATAATTTGCAAATAAATTCATTAAAAATCCTACAATGTGATTTTTCTGGATTTTTTTTCTCATTTTGTCTGTCATAGTTGACGTGTACCTATGATGAAAATTACAGGCCTCTCTCATCTTTTTAAGTGGGAGAACTTGCACAATTGGTGGCTGACTAAATACTTTTTTTCCCCACTGTATATTATGCATGGGAATACTTTGGAACCAATTTCCTAAATTAAAATCACTTGGAGCTGATTTGCTAGTGTTTTTACAGTGTTTTATGTCCAACAATAAATAAATAAACATTTGCTCAGAAAACTTGTTTGGGGAACCCTGCCCTATATGTGTTAAGCCTGTGCTGTGGTAGTATGTTCTTCCACCCAGCAGAGGGCAGTGATCAACCTAGCAGGGTGCTGTCTCTCAGGCTGTCTCTACTGGACTGCCAGTGTCTCTTATTTCCACTGCATTGGGCAACTCTCCCTTATGTAAGCATCCCAGCCTTTTTGGGCCAGTACACTGAAACCACTTAAAACCTCTCAAATCTTTAGTCACACTCACAAAACCACATTCACACAAGCTCACCCTGCCTTCTGCAGTTCTCTCTCTTACTCACACTTACTCACTATTGCCTCTTTATCTCCCTCTCTCACACTCACTCCACCTCTCTCGCCCGCTTTTCCTCTCTCACTCTCTCTCTTCTTTTTTCTCTCTTTCAAATATAGAGGCACAGACACACACAACAGGCACACCATAAAATAGACAAAATATGGATTCCATATTGTTGATAAAATGCCATAAACACTGTGAGACTAAATAAGGGGAGTTTGACAAGGAGACATTAAAAGTAAATATGTAGAGGGAGCGATAAATAAGATGTATGTTTATACATAAGTCATTTGCTGAATAATCATAATATATTCATCAAAATGCTGCATGTAAACTAAGTAACACTCACTGAATGGAAATTCATTTCTCCTGACTTATTGGTTGTAAACATATTTATTCAGATTATTATTCCCAGCTAGTCAGTAACATTATGTATAAATGTATTATTTTAGTCAGTAACATTATTTATGAATGTATTAGTGTAGTCAGTAACATTATGTATGAATGTATTAGTGTAGTCAGTAACATTA